TCTCAGAACCTACACAGGGATGGCAGGAGGCTAGAGGATATAAAGGGAAGGAGGGGCCTGGATGTCAGCTGGGAAGGGCTGTCACAAAGTGAAAGAGAGGAGAAAGAAAGTGTCAAGCAGTCAGAAGTTTTCTCTGTTTAACCCCCAAACAATGCATAAAACAGAACCAACAATTCTATTCACAAAAGAGTTTGTGGGTGGACTTAATTCATTTTTTTCTTGCATTTAAATAATATAAAGTTGCTATTATGATACACATTTAGCCAAATTAACATATAAATTGGTAAAGTCCACTTCCAATACTACCGTTTTTAATATACTGGAAGGAACTGCTCTAGCTACAAAAACTATCCTTTCATATCCAGAATCAATATTTGTTTGAATACTTAAAGTCTGAGTGAAAGACAATTTTTATTAAAAATCCCTGCGCAGCCAACTGCTTGCATGCTGTATGCTGACTAGAGTATGAATGATTCTTGACAGACTTAAATCACTAGTTTGATCCAAAAGCAGGGGAATGCTATGGTACAGAGTCCATGTGAAAGGGCCGTCAAGGCAGAGAATTAGTCTGGGGCTCAGACAAACAACTTTATTCTGCATCATCCTGGTTTATACCAAAAGAAAATCTGATTATAAAATTATTGAATCCTGAAAAAAAAAAATCAAGACTGAGTGTTCAACACTAAGATTTTCTGCTAGGGCAGAGTTCATATCTGCCTTTAATTTTTTGGGAAAAATTCCATTAGCGTACCCAGTCAATCCCTCACTATTACATTAATAGTGATTCAATATTTTTTCCTATTTGATTTCATCATTTCTTTCATCTTTTCCTGTGTTTCAACTACTTTCCCTCTCTAGCTCCCCCAGCATAAGGAATGCTAAATTTGGCAGCACTTTTACATAAATAGTGGACTAAAGTCTAGATACATTTTATCCAAGAAACTTTGCTAATATGTTTATGCTTTCACCAATACCCCTATTCGTGTGGTAATATACGTGTGTGTGTGTGTGGGGGCACGTGTACACATGTACATACGTACACACACACACACACACACACACACACACACACACACACACACACACACTCTCTCTCTTTAACTACATGTGTGCTCTCTGGAATCGCAGTGACAGGGATTTGAAAGATGTGTTTCTACAGACTTCATCACCCTGAAGGATTCACTGACATTAAAATACACTTTTCTATTTCTTCTAAAACTGGGTGTAACTAGAACACATTCTAAAAATAATCTCTCCTCCTTCCCCTCCCTAGAAGCCAAAATAGCAAATTTATTTTTTCCTACACCACCTACTCCTCTTTAAAAGATGTTTCACAAAATCCTAGTACTGAAAGGAACATTAAAGGACCATCTGGATGGTTCTTTTACTACCAGATCAAACATGATAAATGAAGTCAATAAAGATATATTTACCATTGAATTAACTATTTATCTTCTTTAAGCTCTCAACTTTTCCAACTAGTTTAAGCTTCTCACACTCGAGGTAAAAAATACGAAAAGGTGTATAATTATTATTTTTTTAAAAACTCTCAAGTTTGAGTGTTTTTTTCAAAAAATCTATGAAATCATGTGAAAAACTGCCTACTGCTTTGTGCTAAACAAAAACCAATTTGGAATACTTCCTCATTTTAGCTTAAACTATTTCGCTGAACTATTTTATCTAAAATGAGGAAATCAGTGAACCTCAGAACATAAGTCCAGAAAAACGAGCAAAAACCATGCACATACTATCATTCCTTTTCAAGTATGGTCTACAAGGATCAACTTAAATGACTCATAAGATTCAATTAAAGAGATAATTGATTTATCTGCTCAAAGCAGGAGTCCTCCAGACCTCTCAAGGCTACTTTCTACTTAGCAGGACTGATTTATCCTGTGTTCTGTCTGTCTAAATATTACATTAAGGCTAGGTTTATCTCTAAATCAAAGAATGGATGCAATTTTTAAGACCCGGGGTTTTCTTTTCTCCTTACTGTTGCAAAGAAGAGTGGGAAAAAAGAGATGTGTGTCAAGTAAGACTAATTTAGCAGGAAAGAACTGCAAGACAGAAAATATACTGCTCGGGATGGTTGTAATTTGGTTTGAAAGTCCCAGAGATGATGCAACCCCAGGATCATTCTTTGTTTCCTTACCAATTTCAAGTTGCAGAAGGAAAGCAATATCAGGCAACAGAAGGGAGAGAGTGTTGGGTAGTTTCAATACGACTTGGCAGCTCCCCCTAGCTGGGTTGAAACATGGTTCTGAACACATTGCTAATTGTGTCAGTCACAAATAATAAGATTCTGCATGGTTTTAGTATCTGGGTCTGATTTCGGTTTATTCTGAGAACAAGCCAATCTCTCAGCCAGGCATTGGAGAAGGAAAAAAAAAAAACCAGTCCAGTACTGCCTAATATTGCCACCTTCTGGCTGTCAGTGGAATCACATGCTCATTCCTTGGAGGAACTTCCTGATATACCATAAACAAAGACAAAAAACCCCCCAAAACTCTGGCCTAAACACAGACAGACACACAGGTCCACAGTTTAACATAATATGTTGATTTTTGAAAACACTTTGATTTCTAAACTATAAATAAGATTTGCATTTATCCTCCTCTTTTTCAATGTAGTATTACCATATGGTTTTTACCAACAAAAGTATTTCTGAGCCATTTACTCAGTAATAACAAGCTGTATGGTAGTTTTACAAGTTAAAATATTGCCATTTTTCTCTTTCAATACAGCCAAATTTCTAGTACATTCTTCACTGTGGTGAGGAATCTATACCCACACTGAAAAGGAAATAGGACAGAATTTTGAGATCCTCCCGCCTGTGCCCAGACCTCAAATCCTGTAGGTGGCACTTGGTTCTGGTTGCTGGGAGGGCAAAGGTCGCTTGCAACTATACCAGCAATGGAAGTGACTTCTTTCAAATGCTGACTATCAAACCCTGTCTTTGTAGCGCCAGGAAGCAGGGAGGAGACTGACATCAGGACTTAGAAGTCATTTATCTTATTCACATCTATCGTCTTGGGCCAAGCAGCAACCTAAACACCACAGGTGACAAAACTTAGCTGCTAAATTTGGCATTGTTACAAAGCTCTGCTGGGAAGCACAACTGAAGAAAGTCAGAAAGTTCTGAAATTCTGGTCCTCCAGGAAGCCACGGTTCATTTGCCACAGTGGACACAGGAGGAATTGGCTATGCAGCTTTCTCACTATGAAGGAAGATCTAAGACGAGGTACAATAAGGGGCCATAGGGCAAACCTGCCTCTGATAAGCATGCACGGTATTAGAGGTCAGCGGTCAGAGGTGACCTTCATCACAAGCCACATACTGTGCCGGGCAACCTGAGGACCCAAGAGGAAAGGAAAAGCAGTGCCCTCAAAGAAGCCTACAGCATTTGATGAAACTGTTATCATCTTCCCTTGTTCGAAGTTTTTTTTTTTCACTTCTATTTGTCTATATTTTTAACTAGTACATACTTTTTTCCTGGAAATAAATACTATTTATTCTAGCTTGTGTTTATGAATCATTTAACCGATTATCCCTTTTCAGATAGATATCAACATTCTATCAGTCGTCTTAATGTTACTTGGGACATCATTAAATAAATGAGATATTGTGTATTTCTATATTCATATAGTGTGTGACTACAAATGCTCCAAGATATAAAATGTAATCTTTTACTGCTAGACCCTTATGGTATCTAGAAGAATTCTGGTTATAAAATATTAGCTCCATATATAGTAGTGACTGAGAAGGGCGTCGCAGAAAGAGACAAAGAGAGAGACCAGAGACCTCCGATTTTATGTTGCCGAAATGCCATAAATAAAGCAAACCCCATATGAAGGGCAAACTTGGCCTTGAAAATATTATTAAGCTACTTTCTGAGTCTCAGGAAGGGTAGCTGCAGAGATGTCATCTGTGAGGCAAATCTGAGGCTTAGGGGCAGGGCTTGGGAAATTTTTAGGGATCAAAAGTGAGGGAGAAAGCAAGAGAGCCACAAAGCTGAAATGACTGAATCTTATTTAATACTGAGTTTTCTTGTGTAGAGGATCAGAATGGCACAAAATCTGTAAGGCCTAAAGAACACCTAGGAACAGGAAAGCTAGAAAGTGGCAGGCTTTGTAATGGAAAAAAACTAGGAATGGCAGGGAAATCCCAAATCTGATCCTCTCCGAAAGGCCTGAGAGAGAGCCACCAATATTAGGCTGACAAGATAAGGACATCAGCTGCATGTCGGGCCTTTCAAAAAATCAAAGTTTACCTTGAAACAATGGCTCTAGAAAACCTAATATTGAAAGGGGCAGGAAAGAAAAAGCATTTATATGAGCAAGCGATGGGCTTCCAGAACACTGAGAACATGCTGTATAATTTCTGAGTTGTCGCTTCTGAAGCTCACCCCAAGCAATTCAATGGTTAAGTCGGGCACATGTTTCTATTATACTGGAGTAGGTTTATTCCTGAATTCCCTGATGAAGCAAAGAGAAAACATGAGTATCTATTTGTAATTAGGGTAAACATAAGGCATCATTCAAACAAGGACACTTTTGAGAGTAAAAGGAGACAGTATTAATAATTATTCTGGGCCAACAGGCATCGCTGGCTCAGTCACCAGCAGGGCGGGAGGTAGGGCCACCCCACCAAGCACCATGAGAACCAAAGAATTCAGATGAGTATCTCACGTAAGGCCAAACACGTGGTACGAAGTCCAGGTGGGGCTCTGGCACATGGGGGCCTAGAAGAGTGAAGAGGAAGCTGTGGGGTGGAATGGATTAAAGAGACAGGCTTAAAGCCAAAAATTCATGACATGGCACACCAGGTTCTCCACAGGTGGGTTCCAGACTGCCCCTCTAGTTCACCTCACATCATTCCTACCTTTGAAATCATCTCCTAACCATGGTAAACATCGGCTTGCTGCCTGTGGCCCATCTGGGTTCTCTCTTTGATGTGTTTCTTCCCGCTAACAGTTTCCTCTGCCCAGAACACACTCCCAGCCTCTCAAGTTCTGTCTGCTTCGCTCCTACCCCCAACCCCTTGCACCGAGCACCACTTCTCCAGGGCAACTTCTGCTCTGCCTCTTTACGAGACTCCTACTTCACCCTGCGTTTCACCTCTGAAGGTCCTTCCCATGTATATCTTACTTGTTTAATACCAGCTTTGCCTAATTCGGTCAATGTCCTTTTTCCAATTAGTCCTGACATACAGTTAGTTCTCAACAAATATTTATTGATTAAGTGAATCACACAGGAAAGTGAAAAGATCTTTTCACTGACAACTAAATTTCCAAGAAAAAATTCAGGTAATGAACTAGCTGGTTAAAAGCCGAAAAAATATTAAAGACAAGAATGAAGCTCTTTCCCATTTTTCCGAATGAACCTCTTATTTCAAATATAGTTGTTGCCAGTAACCCTGAGCCATTAATGGGCAGGAACGGCCTGAGAACCCTTGAGGAGGCCTGACTCAACGTGACATTGGCCTCTAGTAGATAAAATTGAGAATACAGAGGTACCAAGTAAAAGATGTCCTATACTAGCAATTACTGAAGAAAATGAAGACCCCAAAGTTCCTTTTTGTTTTTCACTTTCCTCCCATTAGGGGGATAAGCCCATTGTCATATTTTTACCTCAGTTAAATATTTAGCATTCTGAACACTGGTGTCCAGAAACACTTATTTACATCAGAGTTTCTATGATAGCTGGAGACTTAGATTTGATATGATACCAAGCTTGAGTAGGAGTCAATTTTATTAGCTTGATTTCTTGTTTTCTAAATAATCTTTTCCAACCTCCTGGTATTTTTCTTGGGACTGAAGGCTACTAGATACTCCCAATACAGGTGCATTTTAAACCACCTGCTACTCAAAGGGTAAATATTATCTCTGTGACAAGGAGAGAGATACTGGGACCAAAGAAGGGTTCAAGTGAGGAAAGGGTATAAGTTTGAGGTGTGAACATATTAACTGTGTAATATTACTTTCTCCTCTCATTAGCACACGACCTGACGTCAGGAGACCCCGGGATGTGCACTGTGTACACTCAATTCTGAGGAGATGCTTCCAGCTGCTCTTGCTTCACTTCGAAGCTTGTCATCCCTTATGGACCTCCAGGTTTTCAGGACATTACTGCCCACTCACCTTACTCAAGTCCTTATAATATCTTTACATATCTCTTACTCTTTATCTGCATGCAGGTTGCTGCTTGCTCAGGAGAGAAAATCTTTAGAACTCAAACATTGCCTCAGTAGAAAGTGCTCAGAGAAGGAAGAGGCTGGTGTGGAACAGAGCAGGGGCTGGCCTTCTGTTTGCTTTCTCACCAGGCAGAGGGACAGCAATGGACACTGAGAACAGCTGCACTCTCTCCCTGAGTGTGTTCTCCGGAGTGAGGCTGATAGCGAAGGAGGCTGAATTCCTTGATTAGACACATTCGAATTTCAATGTACAAACAAATCTACGTTCCCAAGTAAAACAAACGATTCTTGGGTATTGGCCTGTCCTTTTTTTTAAAGCAGTGAGAACCACATTGCCAATCATGGTAAAAGGCTGTTCTCAGACCAGATTTGTAAAAAAGGGGGCAATTCTGAGCACTTTAGTAGAAGCTGTTTCCCGAAACACCTGGAATTCATACACATGTATAAAACAGATGGCAACCAGGCCCATTTCAATTAAGTGGAATTGTACCAGCTGGCACCAACATGAGTCTGCAGAACGAGAAGCAATAATGCATACATTTATTTAATAAGCCTATTACCTCATGCGCCATCCCTTTCATCTTTTTAATTTTGGCCTGCATTCAATGCCAGGAACTCTATCTTGCTGCCACCTTCTACCGAGAATAGAAACCCTATTATAAAACAGAGATGTCCCAGTGGAACCACGCAATAAGTGGACAGATCAGAGATAGGCCCTTTCGGAGAGAACCCTCAAGAAGCAAAGATTTGGCTTAAGTGGTCTCCCTGCCCCTCTTGCCCCGGACTCTTTAGCCATACCTACCATCTCCTTGAACGCACTCTCAAGAGCCCCGATGACCAGACATTCGTGGGGAATCTTCTTCTCCGTGAAGAAGCGCGTGGGTGGGGTGCTCGGGGAGCCGGGGGCCCCCACCCCTCCGCGGAGCGAGGCCGCTCGGGTCAGAGTCCGGCTGTTGGCGGGCGTGTTCTCCGGCTCCTCGCCCAGGCAGGTGGGCGGGAGGACGGCTGAGTTCTTCAGGATGTCCACGATGTCCTGCAGCTGCTCCGTGATGTGGTGCTGCAGTAGGCGGGAAGCCACCACCGCGGCCCCGGACCCCGCGTGACCGTCAAACAGCGACCAGTAGTGGCAGGAAACACCTTCTGATTCCTGGTGGGAGAGGGTGACAGGGAGGAGTGAGAACCACGGTGGCTACTGCCCAAGGGAGTGACACTGACATGGTGAGGCCTAGGACCCCAGTGCATCTACCTGGCTGCCTGTCGTTGGTCTGCAGACAGTGGGCAAAGATATCCAGGGAAGGGTCCCCGGATTTGTCACAGCTGCTACCACCACCCAAGAGATGAAACTGGTCCCTGACTCTCCACCTGGGGGAGGAGGGGGCCCAAATTACCACACGCTCAGCTACTACCTGGGGGCAAGATCTACTTTAATTTGATGTGTAGATGTCTGAAGTCAAACTCCATACAAATGGATGAGTGTTGAGAAGTCCAGCTTTAACCTCCCAGCTCATTACCTCCTATCTCTTCAGTCCCAGAGCAGATCTGGCCTGGTGTCTTTGGAGAAAATTAGGCCTTTTTGCAGGTTCTTCAAGGTGGAAATAAGTGGACCAAGTTTTCCCCTTTAGGGCCCTTATATTCTCAGATAATTGCCCCATTTTCTTTTACATCTTGAATTTTTAGAACATGTTTTTCCCTTAGCCAGTGTAGTCCAGGCTTCCTAAGATGCAGCCAATTCAAATCTCCTTTGCCTGTTTCCTACCTCCCACAGTTTCCCAGCTGTCATTCAGCAACTCTGTTTCCTCTTCTGACCCTATAGCTATACCCGCAGCCATGTGTGCCCATGTTCCCTCATCTTCCATGGATTTCGTACCTGCCAGTTGAATTCTAGATTTCAAGATGAATGGTTTTAAAAACCATGTTTGAATCACACATGCCTAAAATCTTAGCTATGGAAAAAGAACAGCTTAATTATGATATATCTGGAGAAGATATTAAGTACTGAGATTAAATAGGTAAGGTACGTATAACATCCACTCCTGACTGCTAGACTTATCTATCGTACAACAATAAATTCATTCTTTAACTGATGCTATTGCATAAGTTCTTTTTGGTCCATCTTATTTTTGCAATTGGAATACATTTGGCGTACAATATTGTGTAAATTTATGGTGTACAATATGTTGATTTGATACATTTTTATATATTGTAATATGATTGCCATTATAGCGATAGTTAGCACCTCTATCAAGTCACATAATTATTTCTTTTTTGATAGAATAATTAAGATCTAGTCTCTTAGCAACTTTATTGTAATACAGTACTGTTGTCTATATTCATGTACTGTGCATTATAGCTCTAGAACTTATGTATTACTTGTTACAAGTTTGTACCCTTAAACAACATCTCTTCTATCCCCCCTCCCCCCAATTCCAGCCCCTAGTAACCACTATTTTTGGTCTTAGAATGGTGTTGGAAGATACTGTGTTAGGGTGACATGTACTACTACTATTCTATACTTGTGCCCTTTAAAACTTTGTTTTCACTCAGTTCTGTGCTAGGTGCTGAGGGATAAAATAGGTTTTTTTTTTAAGTCCCAAACATTTACTGACCACTCTCTATGTGCCAGGCATGAACTTGGGCACTGGGGATAAAAGACTGGATGCAAGAGATTACCAGACATGATTTCAACTTAATCCAGGGGAGGAGAGAGCCACTGATCACACAATCATACAAATAACCCTAAGATCATAATTTTGGTGAGGGCTATAAGGAAAGGTTCTGTGCTGTGAGGCCAGCCTGCAGAGGGGCACACCGGAGGTGGCTTCCTGGGGACATGAGGACCAGGCTGAGGGCTGCTTGGAAGTTCACGAGATCAGGAGAGAAGCGGAAAAAACACCAGGCAGCAGCAAGAGCAGGTGCAACGTCCCCGTGGTAGGAAGGCACCTGAGGAGTAAGAGGGGACTGAGCCATGGTCATGTGGCTGGTGAGGGGACTGAGGCGGGCAAGCAGGGGGTGAGATCCGTCTGCGAGGGAGGCAGCAGCTAAACCGCTCAGTTCTACCAGGGCACATGGGGAATCTTGAGGGAACGGCAAAATTATGTTTCTAAAAGATCATTGAAACTACATACGCTGTGAAGATTAGGGGAGAAGAGTGGAAGTGAGGATGCTAGTTAGGAGGTAAATACCACCCTAAAAAGACATTTCACCTAATTCAGGCAGTAGGAAACACTCGGGAACAACTAAAAGCACTATGAAACAGAGGCGATAGGCCCTCTCTCTCAGAAGAAAGTTAGGTGGAAAGAACAATGACTTGAAGATCCGAAGATTGGGTTCTCAGGGCATCTTTAATGCCAGTTCCCTGAGTGAGAGGCGGAGCAAGGTCGGGCAGCAGTGCAGGCATTAGACCCTGGCCGAGTCGCTCTAGAACTGGATCTTTCTGTTACTTACCATCTCTGTACCATGCTTTCCTAATAAGTAAAATGCAAGTGAAGGCTATCTTACAGGGGAGTGGGGATTTGGGAGGGTTAAATGGTCATTAATGCCAAGTGACTAGCTAAGAAATATACCCGGAGCATGCCCTCATGTGTAGCTGCCATCACTACCATTACAATATGATCTTGGGTAAGTCATTTTCTGGGCTTCAGTTCTTCAACAAAATGAGGGGCTCCCTTAGAAAAGACTCCGATGCCCCTGCCTACTCTTAAAATTCTGTGTGTAAGAAGTATAGATTGGTGTAGGCTGGAGATGTGGGGGAAGAAGTTGGGCCTTGAAGTCGGAAAAAGTAGAATTTGAATGGATTGAGAGGTCACATGGAGGTCCGGAAGAGGAAAGTACCAGGCTTAGGAGATCTGGCCAACTCAGATAGATGCTTACTGGGTATGTGTTCTCCCTTCCTCCTCACCATTGATTCTGTTGGGCGTAGCAATGTATCCACTAAAACACACACCTTCCTAGACTCCCTGGAAGCTGTGTGTGGTCAGATGATGCTGTACTGGCCACTGAGCTGCACGTGGAAGTCTCCTGGGTGAAACTTCCAGAAAAGCTAATGTTTTTCTAGTAAAAAGAACAGCTCAACTAGCCCAGACTTTTGAACTTCATCCTTCTTCCTTTCTTCCTGCCTGATCACAGAAGCAATACCTGGAGGTAGAGTAACTCTCTTGTAAAAAAGGGTGAAAGCTGCAGCTCAGTTTGGTGGGACAGGAAGTCAGAAGGAGCCTGGGCCCTTGATGGCTGGCTTGGGCGAGTACACAGGCCCTTTACAGCCTACCTCCTGGTGTCGTGTCATATGGGGTTCACGACACTGTGACAGGCCACTGTTTTTAGATTCTGTAACAAGAGCTGGGAACATGCAGAAGAAAGGGTTTATAATAGTATCCTGGGACTTCTAGAACATGTGGCAGGAAGGAGCAGTGCAAGGTAAGTAAGGCACAAGCACAGAAAAGAATTAGAAGTAGGTACAAGTAGGTAGAATAAAAGTGAACCCTTAGGAAAAGGTTCTTCATGTAAGGCATCCTTGGATAGAATTTGGGGATTCCATGAACGTGTATTGATTTTCACAAATCTCTGAAATTTAGCATTTCCTCTTACTACGATCGTAGGCAACAAAGCCCAATGGGATTAGCAGAATCTGTGACTTGGACGCCAACAGAAATAAGGTCTTGTCATTCCACACATCTTGATTTACTACGCCCGTCACTACTTGCAATGATGGTAGTTATCTGCTGCATTAGTAAAGTACATATTGCCCTATTCCATCTCGCAGCTAGGGAAAAGTGGCCAAAGGAAGGGAATTCTTGCTCACGACATTAAATTCTCCAAGGGGCCCAAGGCTGCCTGAGTGAAACCCTCACACACAGTCCTTCTGCACCCGGTTTGAATTTAAACCCAGCAAATGTCTCTGAGGGAGCTGCTGCAAGGGCGGGCGAGGGATGGCAGAGGAGCAGCTGTTTCAGTGCCCAGGCACTGATTCTGCGACAGCAAACGTCGTCATGTTTCTAGAGCCATGATTTGAACCGAATGAGATGAAACCCCATGGAAAAAAAAAAAAGAGCTACAGTGCAAGGGAATGCTACCACATTTTTTAAAAGCAACTCTGAAAATTTTTCTGACAAGTAGTCCAACCATTTCCTTCACCAAGGCAAAGCATTCTGCAGGTACAACAACCAGCTGACAATATATCTGAGGAATTTCTAAGCAGTCAAGAGGGAACGTGGTTGGGGGACTTCTGAGGGGCCCAGAGGGCTGATTCAGCACCCCCCCCTTCTGAGAACCCCTCTGACGGCAGGGCTACACATTCTTGTACAGCTAAGTTTTAAAATATGATTAATAACTTTCACAGCTAAAACTTGTAAGACATAATTTTTCCACAAAGAAGTTTGTTTCTTACTGAATCATCTAGCACCGGCTGATATAGAGGCCAAGCCCAAACCATTAAGTCGGTATCTCTGGTGGCGCAGCCTCAGCTCTGATCCTTTTTTAAGCCCCCTCCCCCCACTTTGGGATTCTATATGAGCAGCCAAAGCTAAGGCCCCCTTCTCTCATAGAAAGGGGGTTGCTAAGCAGTCAGGAGACCCATGTCCTAGCCATCGGTTCACTGCATGACCTTGGACAAGTCATCACATTTCTCTGAAATGACCAGACCGATGGTGTCCAAATTGTGTTCCCTGGTTCTGAAGTGGTACATTAGGAAAGAAGAAGTTAAGGGGGTGCTTAAGTGCCGAGCCCCTTTGACAATTATTTCAATCAGAGCAGTTTTATCAGTTATTAACATAAGGGTTTTGTCAAAGAATTTGGGCAAAAGAATTCAACTGTTTAAAAAAAATGATTTTGAAAGCCCTTGATTTAAGTAAAACCAAGCCCATGGCAGGGAACTTAAAGTGAGTGACATACTACTTAGGGAAAAGATACCACAAAGTGGGTCCTCACCACATGCTTCAATTCCAGGACACCTATTAAGGTCTAAGAGACCAGAGAATCATGGAAGTATCCAGTGACAGGTCTAGAGCACCCTTCCCATCATTTAACAAACCTCACATAGCAGGTAATATTCTAAATGCTTCACACATATTATTAGCTCAATAATCTTTACACCAAGCCTATGAATAACCACCCTATGACGTTATTCCATTTTACAGAGGAGGACAATGAGGG